TTATTGGCATTTGTAGATCCAACAGTGTTAAACGAAAACAGTTATGCCAAGTTTACCAAAAAATCGGACATATACGGTCTGGGAGTGGTACTATGGGAGATATCGAGTGGAATATCACCATTTAAAGGGTTAAATTCTCGTGATCTTTTAATAGCCATATTAAAAGGTGAAAGAGAAAAACCAGTAGTATCTACTCCTTGTGAGTATATAAGAATTTATGAAGAGTGCTGGGCGGAGAATTCCGATCAACGTCCAAATGCAAATTTTGTGTATGAAAAACTCAATGACAGAATGATCACAGGAACTGTGTTTCGAGAGGGAGAAAAGTGTTGTGACAATTATCCTCATGAATCATCTATTTTCAAATTCACATATGATGGTAATATAGGTACATACTTTAAATCTCATATTTTTATTATTATTGCAACTACAGATTTAGATGAGAAAACATACATATACTTATAATTATTTCTTTTTCGTTTTGTATTTGATAGAAGTTCTAACTGATTCTATATCTTCGTTAAATTCAATTATAAGTGGTATGATAAAGTTTTTATTTACTACCTTCTTTAACATAAGAATATTTAAAATTAAAATTTATTTTCCAGAACAACTTAATGACACTCGGTTAACTGAATGGCTTAAAGGTATCTAAAACGGTGTACTGATCAGTATTGCTTATTGTTATTTTTTTTTACTCTGAAAATTATATAAGGCTTATACAAGTTTTTTTATATACTGTAGACACTGAAGTGATGGAATCAGTTAAGAAGAATGCACTTAACTTTGCGGAATTATTAGAATGTATCATTATTATGTTTTTGTTTTCTTCTTTCCTTTATCAATTTCAATTTCTCTATATTTGATGTAAAGCAAATGTTTTGGATAAATTTTAGTAGTTATGATGAAAAAGCGATCGACGCTAGTGGCTTAAAATGGCGCCCTGACGATGAGGTTGCCAAAGAGGGTAGTCGACCTTCAACCTCGTGATTTTCGTTGTTTCTTTTATTTCATTATTCTTTTATTTCTTTTATCCACTTACTTAATTGCATGGTCTGATAAATTTCTCCAACTCGCCAAATCTATGCCTTTTTTCCGCCTTATACCCCCGTAAACTTACCCGAACCCCTATTCAAAAGTATTGCAGGGTCGAGGATTGTTGTTGCCAATCTTGACCCCTGATAATAGATTAATACTGTAATTGATTAATGAAAATAAAATTTATATAAACATAAAGAATAAGATTACTTAAAAAAATTTTTTTAGATTCAAACACAGTATATAATAATAATTGTCCGAAGGACATTCTAATGTACAGCAATAGTGATCCGGATGTGTGTGTACCTTCCGGTCACGTGATACACAAGTGATAGCAGCATATAGTATTAATTTAACGGAGTTTTTTATTATACAGTATAACTTATTTACAGTTAATACAATTAATGTCCTTCGGACGTTGGATTTTAAGGTCACGATTACATGATGTATTTTCGCATCACGACAAAAATCATTGACATGATAGAGATCGATAGTTACGGTAGTGTGATGTATTTACTGTATAAGCTAATTTAAACGATAAAGGAACCAAGGAATGTATAAATAGATGATGTTGTTGTATGTGTTAGTGATAGTCCTTCGGGCTTTAAATGATTCCCATTTACCTAGTCTAGCTAAATTTTGATTTAAAATAAAAAATGTATACTTAATCTATATCTAAAATTTTATTATATATATGAATTGTAAAAAACAATCGATTATTTTTAACATAGAATTTTATTGACTAAAGTAAATCAAACTCAAAGAATAAAAAAAATATTTTTTATTAACTAGAAAATTTTTTTATAAATAAAATTTCAATAAAAATATTATAGTATAATTGACTTTTTAAAAAATTTCAAAAATATTTTAAAATAAGTTTTACAAAACATTAAAGAAATATTTTTTCTTAATTTTAAAATTAATTTTAAATTTTCAATATTAAATTGATATTTGACAATAAAGTTGCTAATTGACTAATTATAAAACCTTAATATAATAATATTATATTGTATCTTAAAAATATATACTTAAGGTTTTATATTAATTATTATTATTCTTGGAGAGTTTTTTACCTATTCAAGACTAGCACCCTATAATTTTAAGACTTAATATAGGTAAGTTTTACTTGTATTATGATTTGGTTAGTGATTTCTATTATTTATATTTACAGAAGAGATATGTTAAGTTTACAAATTTTTTTGATCTTCACATTTTGTCATTTCCATTGTTTCTGAAGTTTTTTGAATTTTATATTGTGTAGAAGAATTACTTTTCTTATTGACAATCTTAAGACATCAATCAAAATCAATCGAATTATGATGTCCTCAAATTAAAACTTATATGATTTGCGAAAATACAATACTGGTGGAAAAAACTAAATTTTTTTTTTTAGAAATTTTTGCCGATTGTTCCATTTTTTCTGTTGCACCATTACCAAATACTATATAGACCGTCTATACATAATAGATACACAAAATAATTAGTGGCTTAGCTACCACAAGTATTACACATGACCACAATTGCCGAGAAATGGCTATTGATTAAGACACTTTGGAAGAGCAGAATTCATAAAGTCACAGCTCTTCAAAAAACAACTGGATACCCATCAAAAACACTATATAGATGGGTCAAACAACTCAAAGAAATCAATGATCTGAAGCAAAGGTGCCATCCTGGCTGTCCAAGCTGTCTCTCCCCTGCACAAAGACGTTACCTCAGTCAAATTGCAAAATCACAAAGGAGTGTCACAAGTGTCAAGCTAACTGAAACCTTAAAAAAAACTTATCTGGGTCTTAATATTGCACCCAGAACAGTTAGAGAGAACCTTCAGAGGTTTGGATATAAAGTTTGTGTCCCAAGATCAATTTCTTTTCTTACTGAAGCTGCCAAGAAGCGTCACATTGCTTGGGCAGAAGCCCATCTGAGAAAATGTTAGAATAGGATTATTTTTTCGAATGAAACAACATTTCAGATATTTCGTAATACAACGAAAGTTTGGTATAAAGAAGGAAAAATAAAACCAAGAAGAGCAACTATCAAACATTCATTTAAGGTTCATGTCTGGGTGCTTTTTGCGCAAGAGAAATAATCAGGTTTCATTTTTTTATTGAAAATATGGATGGAGAGCTTTATTGCAACATTTTAACCAAAGAATTATTTTCCAAAGCACAACAGGTTATCGGCAAGACCTGGATATTTCAGCAAGATAATAACCTGAAGCACTGGGCCAAGGATACAATCGCCCTTCTTGAAGAAAACTGCCCTCATCTTCTTGATTGGCTATCCTACCTACCTGATCTCAATCCAATTGAGAACTTGTGGGCTATAATAAAAAAAAAGTCGAAAATGAATTAACACCATGATATTTGAAAAAAAAGCCATCACATAAAGTATTTTCATGTCAACAATTGCATCAGAATGGGAAAAGATTGATGAAAATTTATGCCTTAGTTTGTCAAAATTGATGCCAAAGTGCATTAGGCTTGTATTGCAAGAAAACGGTGATACTATTAAATATTGACTCACTAATATACTTTGTAGTCCGTGTTACAAACTATAATAAATATTAAGGTGTCGAAGCATTTAAATCAAAATTGAAAAAATTATGTCATAAAAATAAATTGTCAGTTTTTTCCACCGGTACTGTATATTAAAATTCGCCCTAACTGATTCTTTTTTATCAATTGACCTTTCGGTCGTTGACTCAGATAATACTATTGACTGGTAATTAGGTATAGGATAATTATTTTAAAATCAAAGTTTATAGGTAAGTAGGATTTTGATTTTTGTTTTAATTTTAGGGTGGTGAATCTTTATCAGCTGAATATCTTCAGGCAACGCTTATTAAAATTTCCGTATCAATAATAAAAAGTGATAGACAATTTCAACAATATACAATTTTCTAGGTGAGAGGAAACATGATAATTTATGTTAAGTATAGTAATATGCGCGTGGAAAAACCTTAGTATCAAGCAAAGCAGTATCTGTTATGTTATTGACCGATCGTAAACAAAATATTACTACAAAGTTTTTTCTTTGCACGTCAAAATCGATCATCTATAAATTTTTGGTTTTTTGATTCGAAAAAATAGATTTTTTTTAACCTTATTGGAAGTAAGAAACTTATTAGTTCAAACAATAAATACAAAACCATGTCGGAACTGAACGTGATTTAAATAAAACATTTTAGCACAAGGAGAAGACTTGACATCCATTTAAAGAATTACAGTATTTATTCTTGTTTGTCACTAAAGGCTTACGCCAGTCCGGTATTATTATTTTTTATTGATGGTAGATGCAGGTTACAGACTAAATGAGACAATGATCCTCTGAAATCATTTCATTAATAGACAACATTCTTTTTTTAAAGTTGTTCATTGTTACAATAGTTTCTGGTAATACGTACATGAATGTGCGATAATGAAAATTGATGGACGAGAAACGAAGGTTAAGGTTACCAATCACTTTTCCCGCCATGACCTGAGGAATTTGAACCAATACACCACAACGTTCAAGTTACAAACTTTATTCAAACAGTACAGTTTTTACGGTTCAACTCTCGAAACATTGATTTTCTCGTTTCCTCACAACTCATGACAATCTTCGAGGGTGTTCTATAAAATTTTTTTTGCATTGTCGTTTTCGTTCGTAAATCAATATTCATCTTCATTATGTGCACGAGTTCGTTCTTCTCAATTAGAATGGTGTTTATTTATCTGTTTTAAATGAAAGAACAATAGCTTTTAAACTTTCATTCACATCAATCCACGTAATTAATAACTGTTCTTGTATTTAGACTTGCGTAATTTGTCATTCCATTCACAACGTTTCGATGACGCATGGGTTGCTAAATTCGGGAGAAAAGCGGATGACAGTATCAGGAAATTTACTATACTAAGATCTCCGGTCCCGGAGATCTTAGTAGTAAATTTCCTGATGTACGACCATAATTAGGAGTAAATATGATTTCTAATTTCCTGTTTAGGGTAAGTTCGGACATCACCATTCTATGCGGTACTCAGCTGTACAAGATATTTTAATTACACGCCAATCTATGCTTTATTCCAATTAGCAAACTCCTAACATCACGTCCGACACCAGAAACACCCTCATAGGTAAAGAACACATTAGAAAAAATTCCAATTACAGTATTTGAAAACTGGAATGATTAGCATTAAGAGTTGGGATATTATTCTCCTTTTAATATAACTTCACCATCGACATCACTCACAAGTCCATAAATGTGTGATGTACTTTTCATCTAATAATAGTGGAGTTTAACTCTCGGAAAATACTGCAATACGCATTTTTTTAAAGGAAGGATATCCTTTACAATCACGATTCTTATATATCGATTAATTAAATAAAGACCGGTGTGGTTCATTCATCTCTTATTATCGAAAGAATGCAATGGAGATTTTCAATTCCCTTATATGCATGATGTGGGATATATACTATGATCGTGGTTGCCTTTTTATTTAAGAAACATACCTGAAGGGTATCTTTTGGGTTCATGTTTTGGCATATTAACGACGTGTTCACTTTTTGTGTTCATCCCTGTCGAAGTCACAAGGAAGATACCTTCCGAGGACGAACCTGTTTGATACGGAGCTTATGTCATTAACATTATGTACTGTAAGTATAGAGTATATTTCGCTATCAAAGAGGAACAAATTACAGTACTATATCCGTCATTACTTAGGACGGCTTGTTACGTGCATTGGTGACTATTTGCAGATGAAATGCCATACTACGTCACGCTTTTACAACTTTAGTAAAGATGTCATATAATACTAAATATTATTCTTGTTCTTGCGGAATCTAGGGTTACAGAAATTATTCTTGGATATCCTTAAAGTCAAAGAAAATTTCTAAAATATAAAATTGATGAAATTATTCTAAAATAAAAATATTATAGTTAAATGAATATTTCCAAATATTTAAAAACTAATTTTTTATAAATTTTTATTAAGTTTTATGATTTTATATAAATTCTTTATAGAATTTTGTTTTTAAAAACAAATTTTACAAAATAAAAAATAAATCACATCATATTATTATACTAATAAATCTCTTGTATCTAATGCCTTTAAAAAAATACATTCTATTATAAAGGTTTTATTTTTGTTTTTGATTTAATAATTGAACACAAAATAGTTATTAAAATTATTTTAACATTTTACTTTTTTTGCAAATAATATCAATATTAATATAAAATAATATTTTTTTGTAGATAAACATTATCACTTTATTAATCGTAAAATTGTTTGAAATTTATACATGGAGAAAGCAACAACATCTTTTATATAACTAACTAGTTAATAAGTCTGATGCTAGCTTGTCTACGTGAACTATCTTAGTGGTAAGGAAAATAAATATTAAAACCATTACATATCTGAGATAGTACCAAGCAGCTATGAATATTTACTCAGGATTATTGATGAGATTGTTAAAGTTAGTTATTAAATTTTTGTAGCATAGAGTAAAATTGTAATTGCTATTGATGAATTCATTCATAACTAAAGATGAAAGATTCACTATTAGCTCACTATCAGAATTTGAAATAGATCTGGAGTTTAATGCTTCCTGGTTTAAATTTTTTGAATTAGTATTGTTGTTGTTATTGTTATTGATCTTTGGTCAGTGGAGATTCAAATCCTATTTGATTTCAGTAGTGAGAGATATGTTTGCTATATTATATCTTGGTTTTCAAATTAGATTATAAAGTAACGTGAGGCTTTCAGAAACTGCTTTGGTCCAGGTAATAGTATCTGCTGTAGAGTGTATATTGTTAATAAGACCATATGAAAGCTTGACTACTTGCCAAATGCGATCTATTGGTTTATTACTTTGGTCTAGGTATAGAATGCTGTTTATACTATTAATAATTCAAGCTGTATGGTTTTCTGCTTTAGTGCTTTCAAAAACATGTCTGATGTCTTCAATTTTAAGCTCACATCTTGGGCAGAAGTGATCTGGATACTGCTCTGGATATAGTTGATTGAAGTAGGCTTGCATTGGAAGTGTTCCTAAAAGAAGTTTAATTTTGAATAATATGAGATTACTGTAGAAGTTGTTTTGTGTATCTCTTATTTGCTTGGTGGATTTGGTGAAAAATTCCAGGCCATGTGGATTTAAGGCTTCTTGGAAGGTTTTGATTATAGACAAGCTTTCACAAATTATATAGGTCTTTGTGATTCTTAGAATTTTTTTGAATCAAATAATGCTACTGCCCAGATTGGTATTGTTTATTTTGGGGTTTTCGATGAAGTATGATGGAAGAGTGTTCCATTGTAAAGTTTTATTTATGACTGATCTGGACTTGGGTTTGGTTGATTGGAGGCGAACTGATCTTTGAGTACTCAAACTAATATAATAATTCTTAAAATTATAGATATGTGATTAGTTTTGATCATTTTTCTTGAGCCATTGGAGACTTGTCGAAAGATGTCTTAATTGTTTCTGATTTCGATTATTAATGAGACTGGACATCATTAAATAATATTATAGGTTATCAGAAGAATGTTAGCTATGAGTATATCTGGAGTAGACAAAGTAACTTTGGTTTTATTAATGATAATATCATTTTTGAAAGCTTGAACAAAGAAAAAGAAAGAGTAACTGATCTTAGAAAGTTAAGAAGGGAAAGGAAGATTTGATAAAAGACAAATGTCTTTCATGATTTTTTCTTGCGCTTGAAAGTATTAAGAGTTTTTTTAATTAGGTTATTAAGATGAAATTTTGGTTGAGGAGGGTTTTGGATAGATACTCATAAAGATGATGCAGACATGGTTATGAAAATAATGAGACAAGAATTATTGCGACTTATACCTAAGAGACACCCTTGGCACCTGATAAGATTGTTGAATTGATCTATTAGATAGTATTTTCCTTTTAGAGGTAAGTTTTCTCTAAATTTTATGGTTCTTTTATAGGTTTTAACAATAACACTACTTAGGTTAACCAGCTAGAACATTGGTTTTGGATTGAGAATAGGTCCATGCATACCCTTTAGGAAGGAAGTATTGACAAAGTTTTTAAACCAGTGAGGTTCTGGACCACATCTTGTAATCCCTGTATGTGAAATAATTTGAAACCATATAAGTTTGGTAGGACTGTTAAATTTGAGCAATTGGTTGGTGAATTGAATATTAAGTGCATTTTCTGTATGGACTGCAGTAATTTTGAGATTGCTTTTAAGTGATCTGAATAAGAAGCCAATAGAATTTATAGCATTGTCATCATGAAATATGCAAGCTGGAGAACACAATTGGATCTTGAAGTTTTTTGCTACATGGGCTGCACTAAGAAGCTAATTGTCTTGGTTGAACTTGTCTGGATTGCAAAGTGAACAAAACCATATTGATTCTCTTTTTTGTATTAATCTAATATCTTGATGAAGATATTTTCTGATTGATGAGGTGGTGAGTTTGAATATTAGGTTAGTTACAAGGGATGATATTTGTTTTTCTTCAAGCAAAGAGATTTTTAGACCTCCCTTGCTAACTAGAATAAGATTGAAGCATCTTGATGATATCTTGTATAAGTAAGAACTTGATAAGTTTGTTAATTTTTCTCTATAGACTGCTAAAAAGAGATTTGTGAAGATGGAAAGTGAGTAAGAAATACTCAAATTTTCCAAGTAAAACCCATTCAATAATTTTCTGTTTGATTTCTCCTTTCCAGTTTCGATATGTAAGTTCTTTCAAAATTTTGTTAATTGTTTCTTTGAAGGTTTTCCTGTTGAATTTTAGTATGTGGTGTGGAGATATCTGGATACCCAGATATTTCATACTCTCGAAAGGTT